TTCGGCTTAATTTTAATCAAAACAGGAACTTAATGGGATCAAGATAACAAATTTGTAGGTTTTATCAATGTAACTTTTATTGGAGTTCAGTTGTTACACATAAAGTATCATAAACTTTAATACATTTCCAATTTAGTTATAAAACAAAAAAGACAAATTTTCCTATTGGACCCCTAATTTATAGAATGACCCATTTACACTGATTAATTGACTGCATGCTAACTCATTGGGAGTTACAAATTAACAGCGGCCGTTTACTGTTCTTCAATACTCAGATATATGGCCGATAACTTTATGCAGAAATAATAAAATGGGAGTAGGCCTTAATGTAAAAGGACCAATGATACAGACTCAGATTTCAGACAGCAATTCAGAAAAGAGAATTCTATATTTTTCAAAAGTATCATGTTTATAACAAATATACCTACTCGCGCATCACATGCACTGAAATGCTAAACATTCGTGCAAATCTCATGCATAATTTTCCTGGTAGGCCTATAGGCTACATTTGACATGTTCAAAAACAAAGCAAAACACATGAAAAGAAAAGCTTCATGTAAAATCCAGTGTTGTAGTCGAGTACATTTTTCCGAGTATCGAGTACTGTCCAGTACTTAGGTTACCGAGTACGAGTACTTGTACTTCAGAGTACAAGGACAGGGCTTCGAGTACGAGTACTTGTACTTCCGAGTACGAGTTCGAGTATGAGCTTAACTTGTACTTCCGAGTACGAGTACTTCTTTTTCCAATATGGCCATACGACGAATGGTTTAATGTGTGTATAATTGGACAGGCCCAGTCAGACTGATAAAATAAGGCCGTAGTAAGTCAATTCAATTCAATTCAATTCAATTTATTATACTCGTCACGTAAAAAACATGAAAATTGATTTCCAGTGTGCATTATACATGTACAATAAGACCATAGATATATACGAATGCAAAATAAATAAAATTTGATGTAAAAAACAAAAGGTACTATAAAATATTAACACAATATGACAATATGACAGAGATTATAATTACAGACTATCAAAAATTACAAGTTTGTCATCCAACAAATAAAAACACTAGATTGTTATAACAAGGAACCTAGTAAGAGACACAATTAAAAAGAGCTCTTTACAATAAAAACACGTCAGTGGATGCCAGCATACCAGGAAAAAAGGACAAGACAAAAAAAAAAAAAAAAAAAAAAAAAAAAAAAAAGTCAAGCTATATACCATTTTTTTCGAGTACTGCTATTTGAGTATGAGTACTTTGATCACCGAGTACAATTTTGACATATTGAGTATGAGTACTTTGCTACCCGAGTACGAGTACCGTCATTTTAAGAACGAGTACTTTGGTATTCGAGTACAAGTACTAGTACCAGCACCCTAAAAAAAGTAGTCAAGTAGTACTTGAGTACGAGTACCAAGTACAAGTACTTAACATTGGTAAAATCCAGCCAAAATGCTGTATGTAATGAACTCACCTACTTCAACTGGATCAACAGTTAGCCAAAGTTTTCCACCACAAACGTGATACTTCCACAAAATGTTAAAAAATAGTATGGCAAAACTACCATCAACTTGTAAGTTGTAAGCCTTAGGCTGACGTGTACATGTCAGGCCTTCTTCGTCATGTTATGAATGGTGAATCAATAGCTTCACTCCTTTACTCAAAACTGGAAAAACCAGGTGCTATTTTTGTCACACAGTACCATAAAAATAGCAACACTATGATAGTGATCTTTATTCAAGTTCAATATAGGCCTATAAAGTTTACAGTTCAGACAAGCAACCTACCTCTGTCTACGGAAGCACAAAACGGACATTGCACAAATATCACCGCTGCATGCGTTTTATATTACTCCTTAATCATGTATACATGTATTGATGTTAAGATGCCTACAAATATGATTTATACTTTGAAAGACATGAAAATGGAAAAAGGAGGGTTAAAAATAAGAACTGATAATGAGGATGTATTAAAGTATCCGCGATATAAAGTTAAAAATCTGGAAAATATACCCCATGTACGTTTTACTTAGCGCACTATTGAAGTGACTGTTATCGGCTGTCGTAGAAAAAATAGCACATGGTGGGTTTAAGATGGCTTGGCTTTTTGTTAAATCGGGGACACAAGAATAGCCCATTATTTAAAGGACGTCATAGTCCTGCAGCCACAAATGATCGAGAAGTAGGAACATTACAGCAAAAATATAAATAGAAAAGTAACCCTTAGTACAGCTTTTGAGCACTGCCTGTGAAATTATTCTCTCTGGCATTACATGCTGTCATTGCAAAGAAAACAATAAAAGAAGGCCATTTCCAAAGATACATCCAGTGACACATTTTTGGAAATATCCATTATTAGTTGGTTTGTAATTGGGCGAATCCGTGAATGGGTGCGTGCAAACATTGACATGATGCCACACACGCGTCATTGCTATATTTTGTCAGTTCAGTGTTTGACACACGTAGCTGCGGCAATCGGCTGAATGAGAACGTGTCCCGGATGCTGATTTTGGGTGCTATTAAAGACATGCCACAGCAACTTTTGAATTGAAATGAAGATGCTAAAATATTGTTTTCTTGGAATATACAGCATTCACTGAGCTAAATCTTGATCAATTAATAGTTGTTAAGCACCCGTCCTTAGATTTTGAGCACTTTTGTTAAGCTTTCAAACAAACAAAAATGCACAAATGACAAAATGAACTACCTATACCATTAATTTTCACTGATGATTTATTTGTAGCATGTGGGAACACTACGCGCAACACACAAAAGGCATGTGCATACACTGCTGATGCTATGTTGGTTGCTACTAGGGCTGTGCATCGGAAAAGTACCCGAGAACCTGACAGCTGATTTTAGGAATTGGTTCCAGATTATGGGATCGGGTACCCGTAACCAACTTGACAAATTACTTAATAACTTCTCAGACAATGAAAAGAGCGGTTTTTTTTTTTTCATTTTCCAAATGAAAACCAGACTACAGGGGAAAACAAAACATAAATCATGTTTATGACGCACACGAAAGTTGCAGTTTTGAAAATAAAGCTATAGAGCTCACTGCAGACACTTGCTGCATTGACGCACGGATGTGGCAGTTTTATCATGAGGACCTTTGTGAAAAATCTGAACAGCAAATTTCGAAATTAAATGTTGGGGTTCAGCTATCCTGGTATACCCGTGTTTTTTTCAACTGGGTACCCGATTCCTGTACTAACCGTAAATGCACACCCCTAGTTGCTATAAATAGAACTTCTTCAGCATTGAATAGTCTTTTTAGATGGTGTATTATGTTTCTGCTGTGCAACTTCAACAGACAGAATTTGCGGGTGAGATACCTTAGGTCCGTTAATGCTATGAACACCTTCAATCTGTATTTGAAAGCCATGTGCAGACAAGGCGGACACATCAGATGGATGGTTTGCGGTTTTGGTAAATTTGGGTAAATATCAAAGAGTTTACCAAGACTAAATAGCGCCCTCATATTGTGTCCACCATACCTCAAAGAGCAAAGAGCACCGAAGTGTGCCGCCGCCGCGTACTAACATATTCTGGTAGAATCGCGCCAATGCAGCTTGTGAAATATATTGTCTAATTACAAGATATACAAATGGACGCGGACTGCGCAAAAGCTGAGACAGACGAAACTTAATGTACAGAACTCAATAGGGTTGCCTTAGGGGCGTGGCTAACTCGCAAACGTCGATATGTCAATTCTGGTTCACACATATAGCTTACAAAATGTAAGTGTCTCAAGACATCGCGCGAACGAGCCCATGAACCAGAACAAAGACAGCTGACGTCAGATTTCAGTACTTATACTGACTGGCTGATGAAGGTAATGCGTAAACTTCTGAACAAGACCAGGAATTTTGCCTGCCAAATGGTAGAGTAGATCATTTGCAGCCATCCAAAAAAGGTAACTGACGTAATTATCGTTGAAAAGCATATTTGGTTCAAAGATAGTAATGGCAATAACTCATCATGGGAAAAACCAGTTGCTATTTTAATCTCACTGTACACAACCGGTATGTACATACACTGTACATAATTAGGCGCTAAAGCCAACGTCATGTTCTGTACACTATTCCAGTACCAATGATACAAACGCTATTGATTCAAGTTTAGAGTTCAATGAGGCAGTCTGTCCGTGTTTACTACGGAAGCACAAAATGGACATTGCACAAATGATTTGTGTGATAGGTCGACAGTTTTGTGATCCAAGGAATTATCAAAACATGCAAAATGTACAAAGCTTTGAATTGAATATTTGCACAGTCACATGCCATTGAGTTTCTATTTTACAATTTACATCTACAAAATGAAGATTGGCGAAATTCGCTTCATTAAGATATAAGACATATCATATTACCTAACATAAAACTTATGGACTTTTTTATTATTATAACATTACGTACAGTGATGATCATATTTTACAACATTGCAGTAGTAAATTCAATTTTGTGAATTGAATGTCGAACGTTAAGAAGTTGCAGTCCCTTCAATCTCAAAATAGTTTGTCAGCAAAAACTGTTAAATGGTTCAAGAAACATTCAACGCTTTGTCTCTTTCTCCACTGTTTATGATTGGATTTCTCTTGCCGACTCTATTATTGGAGAGTACACCATAGGCCTACTCACACAGTTGTGGGGACCGAAAACGCTGTGGGGATAGCAGAAAGTCCCCATAACTTGGTCATAATTTGCCTAACAATGAAAAACTCCCCCATAATGCGGTGTAGGCCAACGCGCATGCTGAAATACATTGAGGGAGGCTAACTAAAACACACCAACATTACCAGTTAATGCAATTTCGAACACATTTTACAATCTGGATAAATATTAAAATTTTCAGGAATGCATATATCAGATCTTATAGCCCTGGTTCAACTACAACGTTGGTTATGTTCTACAGGGCCTTGTAAGGCAAATAATCCCAGTAGGTTAGCCTCGGTTCAAGTACAGCGGTTAGTTTTTCAGAGGGGCCATGATCAGGCAAATCACATTCGCTCAAAGATCTTAACGGAGTGTCGGTCAGCAACAACTACGTCGCCAGCAGGGGTGAAGGCCATTCCTAACGGATTGTACATCCCTTGAGCTACTGTTGCTATGAATGCACCATTTGAATCGTAACACTGCACTGCACAGTCTCCCTGATTTCCAGAATGAACAACAACATAGATGGTCTCATCATCATCACACAGGACACCAGTTGGCTTTGCAGCTTCACCATTCACGAATGTCTTGACACTGAACATCTCTTTGCCTTTTAAGTTAACGCACTAAAACTTTGGCCTTCGTAGTGTGTAAAGACTAAACAGCCGAAATTGCTTATTGTCAAGAAATTTACGACCATGTTATTTGAGATGCTTGCAATCAACGATCCGTCCAAGTTGTGGACACTGATGACCTTTCTCCCCTTGTCAGCGACTGCTACTCGCTGACTGTCAACAGCAATAGCAGTGAGGTAACTCTTTGATCGCCCATCGGCATCGTCAGCCGAAGGTGTAAACTCGCGAACAAATTGGAGCTCAGTGTCAAAAACCTTCACTTTCTTTTTGTCCGTGACAAAAAGCAGATCATCATGGGACACCCAAGGAGCTTCCAACTGATGCATAAGACCTCCTTCAGCAACCGCTGTTTTATATCGACCAGTGGAGCTAAACAATGATAACCGTTTCAAATCTGTGTCAGTTACTACAATGTCCCCGTTTGTGAAACATGCAACAGCCCTGGCGCATTTGAATTCCTCGTCATTGGTACCTTTTTTACCAAACTTTTCCTTTAACTGCCATTTTTCGCGGACACAGACCTCCCCAAGATCTGCATCACTCACTACGTCTTGAAATCTGACACCAATGAACGACAGACCATAATTCGCCGGTTCACACTTGAGTTCCTCCTGGAATTCCAAGTTGTGCATCACCTTTGGCTTGAGCTCCAAAAGCTCAAAATCATCGGCTTGACTCATCAAGTCATTTACGGCCGCGATGGTGTGATCTGCGCGTTCCATCTGTTCACGGTTGTTCGTGAGCACCTTTTCGTACTCACTGTCTCTCTCCTGACCGATTTCGTTGACTTTGTCGGTGAGAAGCTTTGCTTTGTTTCTGATTTTAGCGATCTCTGCCTCCGCTTTTGCATCAATACCAGTACGAGCCTGTGCCAGTTTCTTTTGCAATCTATTTCGTGCATGTTCGATTGACTTTTCAGTAGATTTGAAGTGCTGCCTGCTCTTCTCGAACTTCTGCAGTATGTTTTCGACCTCACTGCGGAAGGACCTGATCAGGTCATCAATCTTTAGGAAATTGTGCTCTGCTGACCGATGATCTAATGCGACACACATTGAGCAGATTAAGGTATTGCATGTGTCACAGAAGAAACACAGAGGATGGTCAGTGTGGATCGTACACATTGGGGTGATGGGTTTGCTATGTTCTGCTGGTGGCATCTTTGATTTCTTCCAATCTCCCAATGAAATGATTTGATGGTTTTTGGTTGACTTAAACCTCCCATGGGCTTTCCGGCATTCCTGGCAGAGGTTATCACTACAATCAAGACACCTCCAAGTGGCCTCCTTGCCTTCTCCACAGTCACATGTGACGGTAGGTGCAGATGCATCTCCTAATACCTCCTTCTGTTGTTTGACCTCATCGACAAGAGAACTAAGAAAGAAAGACGAAGCTAGACTCTGTAGTCCTCCATCCGGAACTTGCGTCTCTCTCCTGCAGACTGGACATATTATTTTCTCTGCCTCTGGCTTCTGTTTGCTCATCATCTCTTTCAGACACTTCAGGCAGAAGCTGTGCAGACAGTCCAGCATCTTGGGATCCTTGAAAAGACAGCAACAGATCGAACATTCCAGATGCCCCTGGCTGATCTTCCACACAGTTTTGGCTGCAGCCTCCGCCATATTTCAAATGTGACCTAATCAAAACAGAACAAACCTCTGTGTCTGAATGAGTTCAAAATTATAACAAATAGGTAATTTTCCAAAAGGGCTGTGCATCGGAACTGGGGTTCCCAAGTATCCGACCATTAATTTCAGGAACCGGTTCCAGATTATGGAATCAAGTACCCGTAACCAACTTTACAAATTACTTAACTTCTCAGTTAATGAAAAAGAAATGTTTTGAATGTCAGTGGGAAAATTTCAAAATGAACAACAGGATACATTGCATTTGAATCCAATTTCACGTTTTATGATGCTGCGAAAGTTGCAGTTTTCACCACATAGCTAAAGAGCTCACTGTACACACCCTATCTAGCCGTATTGCCGCACCGATGTGGTAGTATTATCATGCAGACCTTTATGAACAATCTGAACAGCAACTTCCCAGATTTGAATGTTTGGCTTGGGTTTCTTGAACGGGTACTCAGTCAACCCATATTTTTTTGCAAATGTGTACCCATATTTTTTCAACTAGGGTACCCAGTTACTGTACTACCCATAAATGCACACCCCTATTCCCCAACCCATCTCTTTTATGGCACACCAGCCTGGGATACATTTGTATTGACACTGACTAATTGGCTGCATGCTAACTCATTGGGAGTTACAAATAAACAGCGGCCATTTACTGTTCTTCAATACTCGGATATATGGCCGAATGCAGAAATAATAAAATGGGAGTAGGCCCTGATGTAAAAAGGACCATTGACATAGACTCAGATTGCAGACTTCGATTACGAAAAGAGAATTTGATATGTTTCAAAAGCATCATGTTTAATATATTAAACAAACATACCTACGCGCATCACATGCACTGAAATGCTAAACATTCTTGGAAATCTCATGCATAATTTTCTTGGTAACCTATAGGTTACATTTGACATGTTCAAAAACAAAGCGAAAAGCAAAAAAAGCAAAGACCATGTAAAATCCAGCCAAAACTCACCTACTTTATCTGGATCAACAGTTAGCCAAAGTTTTCCACCACAAATATGAAACTTCTGTCAAATGTAAAAGAAAAAAATGTATGGCAAAAACTACCATCAACTTGTAAGTTGTAAGCCTTAGGTTTGTGCATGTACATGTCAGGCCTACTTCCTCATGCAATGAATGGTGCAACAACAGCTCACTTCTTTACTCAACACTGGAAAAACCAGTTGCTATTTTTGTCACACATTACTATGGTCTTTATTCAAGTTCAGTACACGCCTACATGTGAACAATGCTGTAAAAGCTGTTGATTCTTGGTAACAGTTCAAACCTACCTCTGCTCACTGAAGCACAAAACGGACATTGCACAAATATCACCACTGCATGCATTGGTTTAACTCCTTTACATTTATAAGCAGACAAATAAAAAATCACAAGCAACACAGAAAACTTTGTGTGTGCACGCCTCAGCCAGAAGTTTTTATTCAAAAAATGTTGGGTACCGAAATCTGGGCAGCCGACCCATAATGCATGCAGCACATTATAATTATTATTAATATCCAAATTTTGGGCACCTCAAATGCCCAGAGCACCAATAGCTCATCCAAGCACCATTTGACTCGGAGACCATAGCTCTTCAGGTTTTTGGGCACCCACAAAGGCCCTGCGCGTGTGGCATTTTTTGAAGTGGATAAAACACCCCATGGTTCATTAATGATTTTTTTACTCCTGCCATTACAATTTTGTAAATAATACTTAGGTTAGACAAAGCACAGTGTGCAACATTATGTAAGTAATTTAATGAGTAGTAGAATTACAATCTGTGAGGTAAAATTGACTATACAAGTTGTTTCTTCAGAGGCTGAGACAAAAGTGACTGCCCAGCAATTTTTCCATCCCGCCTAAACTTTCTACTTCTAGGATGTAAAGAACCAACCCTACTTCTCATTGGCCCATAGTCAGGCCTTGCCAAGTGTTACAGAACAAGATCTCTTATTGGCTGGTTGCCCCTCCAAGCCTTCTCAGCAATTGGTTAAAATTTGTGGCTATTGATTGGCTATTCTCCTGTTTACAGGATCCCACTTTTCTCACCAATTCATCTATGGGGTTTCATGTACAAAGTTCTCCATAAGAAAGTACAGTATGTAATGCATTTACAGTGAGATGTTTGCATGGAGTTAGCCTTCTTTTTGTACAACACGTATAATATAACCACAGGATCCATTGCAAATTTTGCTGCTTATAAATAATTTGATCATTTAGTAATAAAATTGAGTATAACTGTTACAATGCCTACAAATAGGCAGTGGCGCACCCAGGATTTGGCTTTCTTGGGGGGCTCACAATTTTTTTTTTTTAATCACCCCGCAAGACCCAGTAATTTTTGAAATGAAATTGAGATCCTATATTAGTGTTTCCTCTGAATACACAGCGTTTAGAGCTAAAACTTCATCAGGTTGTTGTTATACACTCGTCTTTAGATTTTGAGCACTTTTGTTGCTTCAAATGGGAATAATGCACAAATGACTGTTGGTTTGGTAAAAGTAGCCCCCTGAGATGATCCATTCAGCGTTCTAAGTTATTCCAGAGGTGACACCCAGGGAAATAGAATGCTCCATGGATCACCGAGGGAGGCTAGTTTTACTACACTACAAGTTTAAAGCAATCAGTGTTTGTTTTATAACGCCCCACCCACAGATTCTGCTTGCTTTTGAGACATAACTGAATAATTTACCCGAAATGTCATAAAAACATTCTTCAATTTCAATACAAAAGTAATTGAAAATTTCCTGGCACTTTTCCAAACTACCCCTTCATGAAATGTTTGAACCTAACTTTGAAACGCATGGGAACAAAACGCGAACACGCAAAACACATGTACATCTGCACACACTGCTGTTGCTAGGTTTGTCAGCCTTGAATAGTCTTTTAGTCGTGATGTCTTTTTGGCTGTGCGGTGTAAAGACTGAAACTGGCTCACTGAGCAAAAATCCTGGTTCAAATGATTAGGTTGCGAATTACTTTTAGAAACTGGGACAACTTTTAGAAACTGGAACAAAGAAAAAAAAAGAATCAAGAAAACAAAATAAACTTCTCAAAAATTTAATTTAGTCTCATTAAAAAGACAAATTCACAGGCAAAACCAATTTAAATCCTTAAATAACAAACACTTCCAAAGAAGTCTCAATCTGAATCAAACAACGAATAAAAAACTCCAAAAGGAATTCGCCCGGGAGAAAATAAACAATTGGATACAATTTAAGGAGAATATTATGAGAAAAACTAAGGTATAACAAACTGGATTGACAAGAAACAATATCACCAAGGGAAAAAAGCAAATGTCATACATAACTGTTCCAGTACCAACAATACAAACACTATTGATTCAAGCTGGGAGTTCAAACATGCAGTCTGTCCAAATTAACTACGGAAGCACAAAATGGACATGGTACAAATTGTTTGTGTAATAAGCCGTCAGTTTTGTGATCCAAGGAATTAACAAAACATGCAAAATGTACAAAGCTTTAAATTGAATATCTACATAGTCACATATGCTTCATTAAGATTTAAGACATTTCATATTACCTTATATGAAAGTTATGGACTTTTTTTTATTATTATAACATTACGAACAGTGATGACTATATATTTTCAATTTTGTGAGTTGAATGTCAAATGTTAAGAAGTAGCGGTCCCTTCAATCTTAATATATTTTGTCAGCAAAAACTGTTTTATGGTTCAAGAAATGCTTTTTCTCTCTCTCCTCTGATTAGATTTCTCTTTCCGACTTTATTACTGGAGAGTACACCATAGGCCTACTCATATTTGTGGGGACCGAAAATGCTGTGGGGACAGCAGAAAGTCCCTACAACTCGGTCAGTATTTTCCTAACATTAAAAAACTTCCCCATAACGCGTTGTAGGCCCACTCAGGCCAACGCACATGCCAAAATACGTTGAGGGAGATTAACTGAAACACACCAACGTTGCCAGTTAATTCAATTTCAAACGGCTTTTACAATCTGGGTAAATATTATAATTTCAGGAATGTAGCAGATGTATATAGCCCTGGTTTAACTACAACAGGTAATGTTCTGCTAGGCCTTGTAAAGCAAATCATGAGATGCAGGTTAGCCCCGGTTCAAATGTAGCAGTTAGTTTTTCGGAGGGCCATCAGGCAAATCACATCCACTCAAAGATCTTAACGGAGTGTAGGTCAGCAACAACTACATCGCCAGCAGGAGTGAATGCCATTCCTAACGGATTGTACAACCCTTGAGCTACTGTTGCTACATATGCACCATTTGAATCGTATCGCTGCACTTCAGAGTCTCCCTGATTTTCAGAATTAACAACAACATAGATGGTCTCATCATCATCGCACAGGACACCAGTTGGCTTTGCAGCTTTGCCATTCATGAATGTCTTGACACTGAACATCTCTTTACCTCTAAAGTTAACGCATAGCAAACTTTGGCCCTCGTAGTTTGTGAAGACTAAACAGCCGAAATTGCTTATTGCCAAGTAATCGCTTTCCATGTTATTTGAGATGCTTGTAATCAACGATCCGTCCAGTTTGTGGACACTGATGACCTTTCTCTCCCAGTCAGCGACTGCTACTCGTTGACTGTCAACAGCAACAGCAGTGAGAAAACTCTCTGATCGCCCATCGGCATCGTCAGCTGAAGGTGTAAACTCGCGAACAAAGTGGAGCTCAGTGTTAAAAACCTTCACTTTCTTTTGGTCCGTGACAAAAAGCAGATCATCATGGGTCACAGCAACGCCAAAAGGAGCTTCCAACTGATGCCTAGCATCTCCTTTAGCAACCGATGTTTTATACCTCCCAGTTGAGGTAAACAACGATAACCGTTTCAAACCTATGTCAGTTACTACGATGTCCCCGTTTGTGAAACATGCAACAGCCCTGGCCAATTTGAATTCCCCGTCACCGGAACCTTCTTTGCCGAGCTTTTCCTTTAACTGCCATTTCTCTCTGACACAGACCTCCCCAAGATCTGCATCAATCACAACGTCTTGACATCTGACACCAATGAACGACGGACCGTGATTCACAATTTCAAACTTGAGCTCCTTCTGGAATTCCAAGTTGTGCATCACCTTTTGCTTGAGATCCAAAAGCTCGACATCATCGGCTTGACTCATCAAGTCATTTACTGCTGCGATGGTCTGATCTACGCGTTCCATCTGTTCACGGTTGTGCATGAGTGCCTTTTCGTACTCTTTGTCTCTCTCCCGACCGATTTCGTTGACCTTGTCGGTGAGAAGCTTTGCTTTGTTTCTGATTTTAGTGATCTCTGCCTCCGCTTTTGCATCAATATCACTATGAGCCTGAGCCAGTTTCTTTTGCAATCTATTTCGTGCATGTTCGATTGACTTTTCAGTAGATTTGAAGCACTGCCTGCACTTCTCGAACTCCTGCAGTGTGTTGTCGACCTCACTGCGGAAGGACCTGATACTGTCATCAATCTTTACGAAATTGTGCTCTGCCGACCGATGATCTAATGCGGCACACATGGGGCAGATTAAGGTATCGCAGGTGTCACAGTAGAAACACAACGTCTGGTCTGTGTGGACCGTACACATTCGGGTGATGGGTTTGCTATGTTCTGCTGGAGGCATCTTTGATTCCTGCCAATCTCCCAATGAAATGATTTGATGGTCTTTGGTGGACTTGAACCTCCCATGGGCTTTCCAACATTCTTGGCAGAAGTTATCACTGCAATCAAGACACCTCCAAGTGGCCTCCTTGCCTTCTCCACAGTCACATGTGGCGGTAGGTGCCGATGCTTCTCCTAGTACCGCCTCCTGTTGTTTGACCTCATCGACAAGAGAACTAAGAAAGAAAGATGAAGCTAGACTCTGCAATCCTCCATCAGGAACTTGCGTCTCTCTCCTGCAGACTGGACATGTTATCTTCTCTGCCTCTGGCTTCTGTTTGCTCATCATCTCTTCCAGACACTTCAGGCAGAAGCTGTGGAGACAGTCCAGCATCTTGGGATCCTTGAAAAGACAGCAACAGATCGGACATTCCAGATGCCCCTGGCTGATCTTCCACACAGGTTTGGCTGCAGCCTCCGCCATATTTCAAGTGTGACCTAATCAAAACAGAACAAACATCCGTGTCTGAAAAAGCTCAAAATTATAACAAACAGGTGATTGCCCCATAGAGCTGTGCATCGGAACTGGGTATTCGAGTACCAGACCGTTAATGTCAGGAACCGGTTCCAGATTATGGAATCGAGTATCTGTATTTGCAAATTACTTGGTAACTTCTCAGTCAATGAAAAATAAGTGTTTCAAATGTCACTGGGAACATTTCAAAATTAAAAAAAAACAGGATACATGGAAAACCAAAACCAATTTCACGTTTTATGGTGCTTGCGAAAGTTGCAGTTTTCACCACATAGCTAAAGCCCTCACTGTATACACCCTATCTAGCCTATCATTGCCGCACCGATGTAGTAGTACTATCATGCGGACCTTTATGAACAATCTGAACAGCAACTTCCCAGATTTGAATGTTTGGCTTGGGTTTCTTTAACGGGTACCCAGCAATAGGGTACTACCCGGTTCCTTTACTGCCCGTAAGTGCACACCCCTATACCCCCATTTCTTTTACCGCACACCGTACCAGCCTCAAAATCTAAATGTAACAGGAGATTCATTTGTATACATTGACTGCATGCTAACTCATTGGGAGTTAGAAATAATAAAATGGGAGTATAGGCCCTAATGTAAAAAAGGACCAAAGATATAGACTTAGATTTCAGACTTCGATTCAGAAAAGAGAATTCAATATGTTTTTCTCTAAAAGCATCATGTTTATTTCAAACATTGGTGGGAAGGAACAGCACCTACTCACTCATCACATTTACTGAAATGCTAAACATTCCTTCCACAAATCTCATGCATAATTTTCCTGGTAGGCCTATAAGTATAAGCTATATTTAACATGTTCAAAAACAAATAAGCAAACGCACGAAAAGAAAAGACACCATGCAAAATCCAGCCAAAATGCTGTATGTAATGAACTCACCTACTTCAACTGGATCAACAGTTAGCTGAAGTTTTCCACCACAAACATAATACTTCCGCCAAATGTAAAAAAAGTATGGCAAAACTACCATCAACTTGTAAGTTGTAAGCCTTAGGCTTATAATGTGTACATGTCAGGCCTATACTTTATCCTCATGTGATGAATGGTGCAACAACAGCTACATTCCTTTACCCAACACAAGAAAAACGAGTCGCTATTTGTGTCACACAGTACCATAACAAAGGAACACTATGATCATGGTCTTTATTCAAGTTCAATATAGGCCCACATACGAACATACGAACAAGCACTGAAAATGCCATTGATTCAAGTTCAAAGTTCAAACAGGCAACTCTGTCTACGGAAGCACAAAATGGACATTGCACAAATATCAACACTGCATGTGTTTTTATAACTCCTTATGCATGGATACATGTTAAGATGCCTACAAATATGATTTTATACCTTGAAAGTTTTGAAAATGGAAAAAAGGGGGTTACAAATAAGAACTGAAAACGAGGATGTGTTAAAGTATCCAAGATATAAAGCTAAAAATCAGGAAATATATTACCCACGTTTCATTCATGCGTAGTCTATTGAAGTGACTGTTACCAGCTGTACTAGAACAAATAGCACATGGTAGCGGTAAGGTGGCTTGGCTTAAATCCTGGACACAACAGAGATGCCACTTTTCAGGTTTTAACCTGAATTCAGGTGTTTTTTTTAAATGTGACAAATTGAAAGTGCTGGATTTTGTCTGAAACATCCAGAAAACACACCTGTGAAAGGCATAAGGATAGTTTCAGGGTTTTAGTAGTGTTTCAGGCTTTTTATTGATATATTGGTGGCATCTCTGACACAAGAAGAGCCCATTTTTTAAAGAACATCAGAGTCCAGCCAGAGAACATTACAGCAAAAAAAAATAGAAAAGCACCTTAAGTACAGCTGGTCGGACTGCCTGTGAAATTATTCTTTCTGGCATTACATGCTGTCATTGTGAAGAACACAATTAAAGAAAGCCATTTCCAAAGATACGTCAAGTGACACATTTTTGGAAATTTCCGTTAGTAGTTGGTTTGTAATTGGGTGAATCCCTGAATGGGTGCGCGCAAGCGTTGACACGATGAACACACGTGCGCATACATATCATTCATTGGTTCAGTGCGTGAAATTGGGTAGCTGCAATCAGCTGAATGAGAACGTGTCTCGGATGCTGATTTGGGGCAGAATTCAAAGTATGACTCGGCAACTTTTGAATTTAAATCGAGACCCTAGAATATTGTTTCTGCTGAATACACAGCATTCACAGAGCTAAATCTTCATCAAGTTGTTACGCAACCGTCTTGAGATATTGAGCACTTTTTTTGCTTCAAACAAACAAAAATGCACAAATGAAAAATGGTCTACCTTACCTTTAATTTTCACTGATGCAAATTCTCAATTCCATCATATTTCAAAGGAAACAAGATAACTGTTTCAATCATTCTCTGACCTGTGCCTTTCTCTTTCTTTTCAGGGCAAAGGTGAAATCCTGACGTACTGGCTTGAGGGACAGGATCCAAGCTACAAGATCGACAGAATCAAACCACCCAAACAAAACTTGTAAACATCTAGCATTATCCCAACATCATCTGCAACGGAAGTTACAAAGTCCACTAAATACCATTTAGATCAGCAATTATTTGTAAAGAGGCAAAAACCATAACCAGCTATCAATCTGAACCAGAAATTATACCGCTGTGTGTGTAGGTTTATTTGAAAAAGTTAACTTTTTAATTCAAATTATCACACAGTTTTGTGTTCACCAACAGTTTTGTTGTTCACGAGATCAGCTTTCATTTAGCAACTTTAAGAAAAAACAAAGGTTTAATCACACTTGTACTATAACTAACTTTGATCAAGTTTAGCATTATAATCTATTACCATGTAGAAGTTCTAACAAAAATTACATCAAACAATCTAAAAAATAATTTTAATCAAACAAACACCCTTTGAGTTCAAACTGTTGAGAGTCGCTACTTTGGTATTAAAACTTCACAAAAAAAGAAAGAAATGTATCTAACATCGAAAATTACTTGGTAAACTATAATATATCAGTCTAGTTCTAGAATCCAAAGTTGAAAGAAAAAGCAAGGCTTTTATAGATTTGTAACAAAGATGACACTTGAATTGTCATGGTATTGATAAGAACAAAATCAGCATTGTTATTATACAAAAAAGCGTGACTAGAAACGAACTTTAAATTTACCCTTGTTAACTAATGCAATATGAGGTATGCAGCTGCAAAACAAAAATAGTAGAATGTGAGGACTCGGGGTGTTATTCACTTTTATAAATAAAGCTTTAGCAATTTTGGATGCACAGATTTTTATAAATTGGCATAGAAGTAAGATGTGTAACGTGAAAATGTATACAGCAAAATATAAAACCCAATCAGACATTGGTGTAAATGGAGGATTTTCTATTGTTCCTCTTCGCTTTTCCTTTGTTTATACCTAAACTTTTTCGCTACAGCTCTCATTGGTTTTGTACACGTTTTCCAACAAACCGAGGAGTCCTCGATTTGGTTTCTGTCCTCGATGCTTCGATGATATTGAACGTGTTCGTCCTCGATTTGCACCATTAACATGCACAGCATCCTTTAAAGGGAATATACATCATTTGCTTTTGCTGTAATTTTCAGAAATGGATGGAATTGGGGTGTTGGAAATATATAGCAAATATAGTTACACTGACTTTTTTGAGGTTTTGGGTTCAAAGTGCTATAAAAACCAAGAAAAACAATCATTTTCCTGTAGTCTGGTTCCCTGACTCCATTTAAGAAGAAACAGAGCAGTTTACATACATTGGGGAATTGTAAGGTCAGGGAACCAGTCTAGCTGGCTTGTACCCGTTCATAGGTGTATAATCGATTGCAAACAAGTGCGTTGGTCAATTGGGGCCAGTATTTGAAAAAAAGCCAGTTTTTTCCAACGCTGATCGGCCGATCAGCGTTGGAAATTGATACAAAAATACCACTTTTCTTGAAAATGACAGTATACCAGGTGCCATGATTTTACAGGATGCTTTACACCGTCATTCACTAACAGTCCAGCAAGGTATTACAAAATGATTTGGTAGTTTTATTTTTTGATGTTTGCAAATGTTGTACTTTCCCTTTAACGAAGCCATTTTGTTGTTTTGTTTTGGTTTATTCACATTCAGAATTCAAAGTTGCCAGATGGATTCGAATTCAATTTCTATGAAGATCAGCTTTTAAAAAGGATACTTTGACAAAGTTTGCAGTGAAATCAGTCAAAACTGTTATTGTTTTTGTCCAAAAATTGATGATTTTTGCCCAAAATCTTTAATATAATTATTGGGTGTTTGAATGTTAATTGATGCTCCTCGTACCTTTAAAATAATTTCTGCATAGTTTCGAGAAAAGTCATTCTTTGGCCAAATTTCATTTTAAAAAGTGTGGGCTTTTTCAATTTTGGCCCCAAAATGAAATTGCTTCAAATTGGCAGGAAAGATGCCTACAGGACACTAGAATACATTCCAATTCGATTTCTGGACAGATAAGCTTTTAAAAATATATATTCTTTCAAAAAAGAATATTTTGACAAAAGTTTGTGGTAAAATCAGTCAAAAATGTTGTTTTTCTCCAAAACTTGATGATTTTTGCCCGAAAGCGTTAAAATATTTGGTGTTTGAATGTTGATTGATGCTCCTCTTACCTTGAAAAGAATGTCTGCATGGTATGGAGAAAAGCAATTTTTAAACCAAATTTCATTAAAAAGGTAAGGCTTTTAAACCCCCTTGCTGTTTTTTTTTCAATTTGGGCAACAACAAAAATGAAATTGCTTCAAATTTGCTGGAACGATGCCTAAAGGAACCTAGAACACACTCCCATTCGATTTTTGGACAGATAAGCTTTTAAAAAGGATATTAGGGATATTAGGATATTAATGGTCGCCTTTAGAGGTACTGATGACGATTCGAGAGTGTATAAGGCGATTAATAGTCGCCCGTAGAGGTACAGATGGCGACTGAAGCATAGGGGCGATCATTAAAAATCGCCCGTAGAGGTACAGATGGCGATTCCAGCATGTATACCCCTAGGGGCGATCACTAATATAGTCGCCCCTAGAGGTACTGATGACGATTCCAGCATGTATACCTATAGAAGCGGGACTCTCTGTATCTGTATCACAAAAATGGTCCTTTTTCCTCTAGTTTCCAAACCCATTATTATTATTATTAATTATTAATGCAGATTTCATTAAACAAGCCTCATTGTGTTGAATGGAATCTGGGTTGGGAGAGTACCGTTTGTTAAAGCCTCTATAGTATTAGAATCTAGTATCTACAACATAGTTTGAGCATGAGCTCCAGCTCTGTGTCGAATTCCTGATGAGCATTGGAGCTGGAGTTACTCAAGCTAGGTGGTTTCCCAAGCTAGAGTTTCTCAAGCTACACGATCGCCAAAACTTCGAACTCTTGTAGTTCTAAACTACTCCAGTATTGGCGTTATTTATTGTACGGTTGTTGTTTTTTGTCCTTGTTTGTCATACTAGTTCTCGGCTGGGGTACCTATGAAGACGAGAAGGTCACTAAGGCATACGAGGCGGTCATGATCTTAACGCCTAAGACCCGGCAAGAAGACCTATGTGTACAAGGACTGGGCGTGGCACGTCAAGGATACTGTTCAACTAGCTCCATTCTTCGGAACTGGCAGATACGTAAGTCAAACAAAATATACAAACTAGCTTGATGAAATTAAATTAAAGATAATATACAACATTTGCAAACATCCAAAAACAAAACTGCCAAATTATTATGAAATACCTATACTCGACTGAAAGTGAATAATATTCTCTCAAGCATCCTATGAAACCATTTAGGTGTGATGTCATTTTTAAGAAAAGTGGAATTTTTGAATCCATTTCCAATGAGGGTTGGCTGACAATCGCCTTTTTTTTTTTTTAAATACTGCCCCTAATTCACCAAGTTCAGTAAGTCCACAAGCCAGCTAGTCGGTTCCCTGATCTGACAATTCCTCGACATCTATAAATTGGTCTGTTTCATATAAAGTAGGGTCAGGGAACCAGACTACAAGAACAGCATTTTTTTCTTGTCTAACTATAATTCTGGAAATCTCTGTCTGTCTGTCTGTATTTTTGATTATCTTCAGAACCGGGCACCGTATAATTAAGTTGAAAATCAGCGGGTGTATTGTTTGGGACTCCAGAATGTGCAGTGCCAAGTTTGAATTTGTTAGGATGAGCAGTTCTTGAAAAAGCTGCAAAAAAGCAACATTTTCTGAGGCAAATTAATGCGGCAGTATTTATAGCCTAGACCACCACGCGCGCACTGCCGTCCTTTTCAATTGTTTACGTCATGTTTAAGTGAAAGCGTGCGTGCTCAATATGACGCAACACTGGAAAAAGGACGGGCACATGCATTGTAGGGCGATAATTGTTCAGTATGGGTGAATAGCATTGCATAGCATATGTTTCCGTATGTACACGTACGTGATGGCTGCACGGGAACATTATGTCTATTGAGCAACCGTACTGCAGGGCGATACCATTGTCCAGTAAGGGTGAATATCTGCAGCTTTTGCAAGAACCAATCGCCCAAACAACTTCAAACTTGGCACAAATTTTGACGTGAGTGTGCATTCAACCTGTCAAAGCAACACCATTGAATCGCGTGCGTTGTTCGCACGAGCTGTAATTTCTCAAAAACTCTGCAAGCATGCAACCAATACCAGTGGCAAAGCAATTTGTGCTTCCCGAGCATGCACATTTTAGACGGGCACTGCACTAGTTTTTTTCAATTATGAAATATAATTTTTTTGGGTTTGGGTTCCGCTTTTTTGACTCGCCCTGTATTTGTGTCAGGTTTTCAACCTCCGCGCCACTAAAATCTTAACATGAAGTTCTACAAAAATCCTGGCTGCAGCAGAAATCCACAACATATGCTGTCGTCACATGCCAGCCCAGCCTATAGACTTCGTGCATAGGTACCCCTCGACGGTTAGAAAGGGAAAGTTGGGGAAGACCACTGGGAGGGACATTGTGGAGCGCTGTGGTCCAATGTTCGGCTCGTGCTGTACTGCGTGGCTTCGAACCCTGACGGGGAACATGGTGCTTGTGTTCATGGGCAAGAAACTTTACTACAATTGTTTCTTTCCACTTAGGAGTATAAATGGGTACCTATGAAGGTAGAGACCAGAAGGCGCTGATCTCGAGCCGCTGCAAAAACTGGTCTCATGGCCTGACGAACAGGGGTAATAATTGTGAAGCGCTTTGAGACCTTTGGTATAAAGCGCTAAGCACCACATTATTATTTTTACATTCAAACGCATTGTACCTAATGCTCAAGTGAAGAAGCTCTGGATTTGTGCAAATCCAGAATAAAATTAATCTTGCGTATTTGTGTGCGCCATATGTGTGCGCACCAGACAACGTGCACGTGATGTGTCTCTCCAACTAAGGCTCTCGAAAGTTGTCAAAAAGCGCCCTCTGTGTTCGTGGACGGAGTCCATAGGTTTATGATCAAGCCTGGCTAAGCATGTACTTAAAGGTACAGTCCATCATTTGTAATTTGTACATTTTGTTCGTTTGAAGCATCAAACATGCTCAATATCTAAATAAGGGTGCTGAACAACTAACTTGATGAAGTTTCAGCTCAGCTTCAGCTGTATATTCCGAGAAAAACAGCATTCTAGGATCTCAATTTTTCAAATCAAACGTTGCTAAATCATGTGTTGAATTGGGACTGAATGCAGTGTCCGAGACACGTTCTCACTGAGCCGATTGCAGCTACGCGATGTTGCGCACTGATCCAATGAATTGTAGCAACCGCGCGCGTGTGTGCGTTGTGTCAACGCTTGCATGCACCTCGCTGCATTAAAAAAGGAACTACTAACAGAAATTTCCAACGATGCGTCTTTAGACACACCGTTGGAAAGGCCTTTTTTCGTTGATTTCTTCAAAATGACAGCTTGCCAGAAAGAAGAATTTCACAGGGAGTTTAGTCCCCTTACTATCTTTCAACTGAGTATGTTTTTCAACAATGATTACATCAGTTACTTTTTGGATAGCTGCAAATGATGGACTGTAGCTTTAAGGCCATTTACATGTATGAGATACATGAGATTTCTTCAGTTAGATTTGGGTCTTCAGTTGTGTGGCAATTTCGTCTATGGTTTTGACTTAAAGGTCTCAATTTATTCTTAAACGACCTTTTCATATACGCCTTTTCATCATCCATTGCATATAGTTGCATGTATAGTTTTATAGGTACCAATATACAAACCAAATTGAAAAGCGGCTTAGTTTATTCAAATTTTTTCAAATTGTCATCTCAAATTACTGCAAACCAAACCTATCCCCTCATTTTCACCATTAACGTCTTGTTCTCAACTTGCCAGGTCGTTAACTTGTTGAACGCCTTGTACACGCTGTTCGACGCCATCATTTCCAACTATGACGTCTACAAGGTAAATATTCTATATAACCCAGCAGATTGTTTTTAAACCAAACTTGAAACAACATTTAAATCACAGGACGTTAAATGTGTTATAAGCTAATAGTTCCAAGTTACATTAAGACCAAAAAAAAGATGTAAACATGTTTTCTATTATATCTGAAAGCAAAATTAACCAATAATGAATGATAACGTCTTACAAAGGTTGAAACCATTGGCGATGCCTACATGCTGGTCTCCGGCCTACCGCTTCGTAATGGCAACCGTCATGCTGGTATGATCGCCTCCGCTGCATGGCATCTGCTGGAGGGCGTTAGTAGTTTCATCGTGCCGCACAAACAAGAGGAGAAACTCAAACTCCGAATCGGTATTCACTCAGGTAAGATCATTGTCTTTGCTTGTAGTCGAGGTACTCATGATGGATCGCAACTATATCACAAGTCTATAGTCACAAGTACATCACAAGTCCAGTCACACGTACATCACAAGTCCGGTCACAAGTCCATCACAAGTCCAGTCACAAGTACGTCACAAGTCCAGTCACAAGTACATCACTAGTCCAGTCACAAGTACATCACAAGTCCAGTCACAAGTACATCACAAGTTAAATCACAAATACATCATAAGTCCAGTCACAAGTACATCACAAGTCTAGTCACAAGTACATCACAAGTCCAGTCACAAGTACATCAGAAGTCCAGTCACAAGTACATCACAAGTCCAGTCACAAGTACATCACAAGTCTGGTCACAAGTACATCACAAGTCTTGTCACAAGTACACCATTAGTCCAGTCACAAGTTCATCACAAGTCCAGTCACAAGTACATCACAAGTCCAGTCACAAGTTCATCACAAGTCTTGTCACAAGTACACCATTAGTCCAGTCACAAGTACATCACAAGTCCAGTCACAAGTACATCACAAGTCCAGTCACAAGTTCATCACAAGTCCAGTCACGAGTACATCACAAGTCCAGTCACAAGTACATCACAAGTCCAGTCACAAGTACACCATTAGTCCAGTCACAAGTACGTCACAAGTCCAGTCACAAGTACATCACAAGTCCAGTCACAAGTACATCACAAGTCCAGTCACAAGTACACCATTAGTCCAGTCACAAGTACGTCACAAGTCCGGTCATAAGTGAATCACAACTTCAAGCTCTGCTCAAGCTATTTGTGCTTGAGAATGTTGTGTATGTATGACAATTTCTTCATTGATTTGGACTTGTTTCAAGGATCTTGTGTGGCGGGTGTAGTTGGCCTGACCATGCCTCGGTATTGCCTCTTTGGTGACACAGTCAACACAGCGTCTCGTATGGAGTCTAACGGACACGGTAAGTAGAATCTTGTGACACAAGACAGCTCAAACTATGTTGTCATATTAATAGGTCTCGTTCAAATGACGTCATTTCCTACAGACCGTCCATGTGCATCGGCATTTTGAGCGTCAACTTGTATAACGCGCATCAGCTGCATCGCATTTTTAACACATTTCAAGCAACAAGCGCACGTGTTTGGAATTTGTTCAACACTGTGTAATGCATGCTTGATTGCGTAAAATACGCAGTTGTCGTTCTCCTACAGAGATGGCGGTCATTGAGCGAGCCCTTTTGTAGAAAAAGTGTACAGTGTCAACAAAACCAAGTTTTCTAACCGTAATTAAGCATGAAGTATAAACTGGCAAGTGGGCCCCCCCCCTTCATTTTCCGTCCCCCCCCAGGTGCCCTGCACCAAAATACTGATAATGCCCCTTTTCCTTCCCCAACCAAAAATGTTTTTTGTAATTTGTATTTTTCAGTTAGCCAAAGGTTTACTGATTACAATTTCTTATGTCAATGCATATAGTGAGGCATTATGGGGCCCAACTGAGAAGAACTGCAATAGAAAGTTTGTGATATGTGCCCCATATGATATTCTGATGCCCCCCTGTGCCCCCCACTAAAAAAATTCTAGCTATGCCACTGGTATGTATTACCAAACTTCAATTATTCATCAAAAGTTTTCAAGATTTTTTACGTTTTCTTGGCAAAATCTTTTATTTGATTTTCTTAGCGTAACTGATTTTCTTCGGCATTTTGCGTTTCGCTTTTGAATAATGTTTTTGCCCTCACTCCTACAATCTCACAGCGCTCAAGATTCACGTGAGTCCCGAATGCAGACAGGTACTGGAAGAACTCGGAGGATACAATCTAGTAGAGAGAGGACTCGTTGCCATGAAGGTACGGCAGTTATTTTCATTGCATAGATCCTTTCTTAGGGTGCGTTCGATTAGCTCACCCGGGTCGACTCAGGTTAGCCCCGTGTCGTTCGATTAGCTCAGACGTCATTCTCGGGGCTCACCCAGGTCAGCCACCACAGACCCTGCTCGTGGAGCAGAGTCACTGGTGGAAATATGTCACACGCATGCGTTGTTCAATTCAAGAAACGAACAATATGGCGGCCAGACAGCAGAAAAGCTCAAGTGAACCCACAGATCAACTTTATTTGAAGCCTAAACATAATTATTTTTTGATCTCATTGCGACTTTAGGGGCTACAATTTCAGCCCGGCATTTCTACTTATTTCGATTGATGGAAAAGCAGAAAATTTGAAAATAAGACTCAGTTTGAAAAGGGTGTTTTGTCAGTGGCTACGGCCGCGGCTACGGACGTCACGTGAGGCTCTTGATGGCCTGCGTTTGAGCGTTTGACTAGCCCAGCTGTCGTGGCTAACCCGTCTGCCTTTACCCGACTTGATCCGGGTGAGCTACTCGAATGACAAACAAAAATTGTTTGAATCCCCGAACTTGAAGATATTATACAAGTATTGACTACTTTGGTTGGTGTGGTAAAACTAGCCTCCTGAGATGATCCAAGGGAGGTCAGTTTTACTACACTACAAGTTAAAAGCAGTCAATATTTGTTTTATAACGCCCCACCCAAACATTCTGCTTATTTTTGAGAGATGACTGATTAATTTAACCGAGATCCCATAAAAGTATTTTTTAATTTCTGTTTGAAAGTGATTGAAAATTTCCTCGCACTTTTCCAAATTAACCCTTCATGAAATGTTAGAACCTAACTTTGAAACATGTGGGAACAAAACGCACAACATGCAAAACACTGCTGATGTTATGTTGGTTGCTACGTGCATAGAACTTTGTCAGCCTTGAATAGTCTTTTTAGTCGTTGTATTGTCTTTTGGGCTGTGTGTAATGGGGGAAAAAAAGGCTCACTAAAAAAAAAAACTGGTTGAAATGATTAGGTTGTGATCTACTTTTAGAAACTGGGACAAAAAAGATAGAAAATCCAGGAAACAAAATTAACTTCTCAAAAATGTAATTTAGTCTTATTAAAACTTATCTTCACATACAAAAAAAAAACAATTTAAATTCTTAATTAACAAATAATTTAAAAGAAATTTCAATCTGGACCAAACAACGAATTAAAAACTCAAAAAGGAATTTGCCAAGGAGTAAAATTAACAATTGGATTAAATTTTAGGAGAATATTAACAACTAAGGTATTAAAAAAATGGATTGACACAAAAAACTTTAACCAAGGGGAAAAAAGCTAATGTCATACATAACTGTTCCAGTACCAACAATACAAATGCTATTGATTATTGTAGTAGAGTACTTTTTTCCAAGTACTGAGTACTGCCCAGTCCTTAGGTTACTGAGTACTAGTACTTTTTCTTCTGAGTACAAGTTCAGGTCTCCGAGTACGAGTATTTGTACTTCTAAGTACGAGTACAAGTACTTGTATCCCCAGTACGAGCACTTCTATTTCCGAATACAGCCGTACAGTACGAGTACTTCTATTTCCGAATACAGCCATACAGCCATATTTGCCGCATGGCTGTATATTGTACATAATTGTCCCAGGCCCAGTCAGACCGATACATACAGACCCACTCACGGCTAGCTGTTAAATGTGTTTGTCCGGACGTACACAGAAAAAAATCAGCAAACTTTGATGTCTTTGCAAGTAAATTAACCATTTCCAACTGAAAATATCGATAATAAAATAAGGCCGTGGTAAGTCAATCTATACCATTTTTTTTTGAGTACTGCTATTTGAGTACGAGTGCTTTGATAAGCAAGTACAAATTCATCATGTCGAGTATGAGTACTTTGCTGCTGTTAATTCAAGTTCAGATTTCAAACATGCAGTCTGTCCACGTTAACTACGGAAGCTCAAAATGGACATTGCACAAATGTTTTTTTGTGAAAGGTCATCAGTTTGGTGATTCAAGCAATTAACTAAATATGCAAAATGTACAAAGCTTTAAATCGAATATTTACATAGTCATGTGCCATTGTGTTTCATATACAATGTACTTCTACAAAATGAAGATTGGCACAATTTGCTTCATTAGGAGTTAAGACATTTCATATTACCTATTAAGTTATGGACCTATTGTACTTTTAACATTACCTCACAGTGATGACCATATTTTACAACATTACAGTAGTAAAGTTAATTTTGTGAATTGAATGCCAAATTTAAGGAGGTACAGTCCCTTCAATCTTAAAAAAGTTTGTCAGCAAAAACTGTTGTACGGTTCAAGAAACATTCAACCCTTTTCTTCCATGATTTCTTCCACGATTTCTCTTGATGACTTTATTACTAGAGAGTACACCATAGGCCTACTCACACATTTGTGGGGACCGAAAACGCTGTGGGGATAGCAGAAAGTCCCCATAACTCGGTCCTAATTTGCCTAACAATAAAAAAAAAACATCTCCATAATGGGATGTAGGCAGGCGCGGTTCTAGAACCAATATTTGGGGGGGGGGGGGGGCTAGCACGGTGGATCCAGAATTTTTTTAGGGAGGCGTGCTGAAATGTTGACCGGTTATTTTTTCCAGACACTTAGGCCTCCGAAAATCAATAGGTGGGGTGGGAGGGGGGGGGGGGGGGGGCTCATGCCATTTTTTCAATGGGGAGCGCCAATAAAATCCTAAAATCATTCACAATATATTAACTGATGCACCCTTGTCACGGCTATTTCTTCTTTAGGGGGAGACCGTTCGCATGTACATCACAATCCTTCTTTTTGCTAATGCAATTTTTTTTTACGGAATTTATTTTGGGGGGGCTAGGCAAAATTTTTGGGGGGCTACAGCCCCCCCTAGCCCCCCCGTAGAACCGCGCCTGGATGTAGGCCTAACATAGAGCTATATTAAATTACTAGAGCGCTAACTCCTCATTCTTGCGCACGGAGACGCTTTGAAGCCGTCCTGGGCGCAGACATTTTGAATTCATGTGCGTATTTGTAGAACATAATGAAATTAGATGGATTGAATTTTGAAAGTGTACTCTACATGCAACGCGCAAGTAAAACATACGCAAACAACTGAAGCGTGTCATGACAATTCAAAAAACGTTACAGCAAAAAGCATCTGCAGCGAATACGCGCTCGCTTTGCCCTGTTTGCGTAGAGCAAAATGACACGCTCATTTGCTGATTTGGTCTGGAATACAAACGCTGATATGCAAATAGACGTACAAAATGCGTACAAAATGTGTAGTTCTCCATAGGTTTGTGTACAAACATGGAAGCGCCTATCAGGCATCTCTTTGTATATCGAGTTACCGTTCTAGTAATTTAAATAAGCTCTATGAGGCTTACGCACATGCTGAAATGTATTGAGGGAGATTTTTACTGATAACACACCAACGTTACCAGTTATTTCAATTTCGAACAGGTTTTACAATCTGGGTAGATATTGTAATTTCAGGAATGTAGCAGATGTAAATAGCCCTGGTTCAACTACAACAATGTTCTGCAGGGCCTTGTAAGGCAAATCATTGGATGCAGGTTAGCCCCGGTTCAAGTACAGCGGTTAGTTTTTCAGAGGGCCATAATCAGGCAAATCACATCCGCTCAAAGATCTTAACAGAGTGTAGGTCAGCGACAACTACGTCACCAGCGGGAGTGAATGCCATTTCTATCGGATTGTACAACCCTTGAGCTACTGCTGCTACAAATGCACCATTTGAATCGTAACGCTGCACTTGAAAGCCTCCCTTTTTTCCAGAATGAACAGCGACATAGATGGTCTCATCATCATCGCACAGGACTCCAGCTGGCGTTGCAGCTTTGCCATTCATTAATGTCTTGACCCTGAACATCTCTTTACCTTCAAAGTTAACACACAGCAAACTTTGGCCCTCGTAGTTTGTGAAGACTAAACAGCCAAAATTGCTTATTGCCAAGTCATGGTCAACCATGCTATTTGAGATGCTTGCAATCAACGATCCGTTCAGATTGTGGACACTGATGACCTTTCTCCCCTCGTTAGCAACTGCCATTCGTTGATTGTCAACAACGATACCTTGCAGGTTACTCTCTGATCGCCCATCCACATCGTCACATGAAGGTGTAAACTCGCGAACAAAGTGGAGCTCAGTGTCAAAAACCTTCACTTTCTGTTTGTCCGTGACGAAAAGCAGATCATCATAGGACACCGCAACGCCCCAAGGAGCTTCCAACTGATGCATAAGACCTCCTTTAGCAACCGCTGTTTTATATCGACCAGTGGAGCTAAACAATGACAACCGTTTCAAAATTGTGTCAGTTACTACAATGTCCCCGTTTCTGAAACATGCAACAGCCGTGGCAAATTGAAATTCCTCATCACCGGTACCTTCTTTGCCGAACTCTCCCTTTAACTGCCATTTCTCGCTGACACAGACCTCCCCAAGCTCTGCATCACTCTCAATGTCATGACATCTGACACCGATGAACGACGGACCATGATTCACCGGTTCACACTTGAGCTCCTTCTGGAATTCCAAGTTGTGCATCACCTTTGGCTTGAGCTCCAAAAGCTCGAAATCATCGGCTTGACTCATCAAGTCATTTACTGCCGTGATGGTCTGATCTGCACGTTCCAACTGGTCACGGTTGTGCATGAGCGCCTTTTCGTACTCAGTGTCTCTCTTCTGACCGATTTTGTCGACCTTGTCAGTGAGAAGCTTTGCTTTGTTTCTGATTTTAGTGATCTCTGCCTCTGCTTTTGCATCAATATCACTACGAGCCTGAGCCAGTTTCTTTTGCAATCTATTTCGTGCATGTTTGATTGACTTTTCAGTAGATTTGAAGTGCTGCCTGCTCTTCTCGAACTTCTGCAGTATGTTACCGACCTCACTGCGGAAGGACCTGATCAGGTCATCAATCTTTAGGAAATTGTGCTCTGCCGACCGATGATCCAATGCGGCACACATTGAGCA